GAGTTATCAAACAGTTCGCTAACGTCAACCATGCGTGGTTTAAAAAACATATTCGGCCGTATAATAGATTTGCCATTTGCTTTGAACAGACGCAGAATTCCCCATGACGCCTCAGCTCTTTCACTGTCCGGTACTGAGGGATGCTCCACTTCCGATTCGAGCACCCAAGCAGCATTACGCACCTCAATGCGCAGTCGCTCGCACTCTTCGTGGCTAATATTTTTGCTGACATTCAACACCTGTTAAGTGGAAAAGAGTTAAAAGTTCAGCCATTAGTTTTGAAAATAAGTTTGGATACATACCTGTTCTAGCGGGTTTACAATATAAAGCGCCGAGTGATCAGGCTTCGCAATGGCTCGTCCCTCATTCAATGATATCGCGCGATTATGAAAATCAAATTGCGAATAGAATTCGAAAAATTGCAGCAATAATTCACTCGCGTTGGTTGTGTTGCTACTACGAAAGCCAATGCGCTCGAAATCTCGTGCGAAGCTGCAATTTATGCCGTCTTCGGTGAGACGTATATCTTCTGGTGTGGCGGATTTCATTAGCGCGTTGATCGTTGGAAGTATCGGCTGCTTCATTTGTTGTAGGAAGAATATCACAAGGCAGGTGAGCGAAAAATTTGTTATCCACCGCCCGGGCGAGGGATTTGTTAGGCCACACGCCTGGGCCCAACGCCGAATACAGAACGTCAGTGGGCGTACGCGTTCATCGAACTCGCCAAACATGTAGAGCAATTCTGACATGTAGAAGCCGGTGCTGTGGACAAGTAGAAGATATGAAATTATATTAAAATAATAATCAGTTTATGTTAGCGCAAATCCATTCTCGACTAATTCGTAGTTTTTGTTTGATTCGAGAAGAAAGTCTGAAGGCATAGTAAGCGCCTTACGGGGACACACGGACTTAATTTTCTGCCGATGCATGGGTTGTATATACATACATATACTAGTGATGTAGGACTGTGTTAAAATTCCCATGTATGGACATGGATTTTCCTTTAGCGAATTAATTCTAAATGGCTAGGAGTTTATAAATAGGGCCGAAGTTGTGCGAGTTTTATGGCACCTCCATTTGTTTTTTTTTCCAAGTGTTCCTTACGTATGAGATGTGATTTTCACAGAAACTTCTGAATAAGCGGCCGAGTCTAAAGATTGTTGTGCGTATTTTCCGGCATTTGTGAATTTGGCGAAGTTAGGTTAGGTTACAGTTCACAAGATGGAGGGCTGTTAAAGGAGGTCCTTATATTATGTTACAACTCACGCTTTTGGTGGGGGTTCTGACAGGTCGCTTTCCAAACGGAATTACAGGATCGCGCTTAAAATATCATCCGATTCTTTTTGTAGCATTTTCTAGAGGATTATGAGGTGGAATCACTTCAACTCTTTTTACTAGGCTGAACAGCTTTCTCAAGGCTAAGCTTAAATTAGGTACCTTTGTATTGACCGTACCACCTTACAATCCAAATAAAAACGGTGCGCAAAACATTTTTACATTTTTTGTTGACACATATATGTATACATTCGTTAATAAACATTTTTTTTTTATCCCTTTCAGGACCAAGGCGAACTTGCTTCCCAAAAAGTTTTTCCGGTAAGACAACTGAGTGAATCAAATTTAAAGTTTGCGGTTTTTATATGTAGTTTTTCTTCAACTATTTTATTATACAATTTTAAAAATACCTTTTTTATCAAACTAAAAAAATTTACCACAAATTAGAAATAATTACTTTAAGATAACAAAAAATTATATATATCATTTTTAGAAAAAACTTTAAGATATATACACTTGAGAGATAAATTTAAAAAAAATCTGTTTTTGTAGGGGAAAAGTTTTGAGGAAATCGAATTGTAAAAAATAAGGAATCTTTTCTTTAAAAAAATCTGTTTTTTTACTGACTTCAAAATAGGAGCTCGTTTTCATTTCGTCATTTACATTTCTAATTGCAGACTTAACCCTTCGAAAGGGTTAAATAGTTATACTGGAATAATCGAAATACTTTCTTAGCAAAAGTTTACTACTTTTTGGTGAGCTTTAATTTACTGACCCACCCCAATAGTGGTACGCCAGGTAAATTAACTAATTACAACAATTGTGAATCTAAATCTACATGGTGTTGCAAAGTAGAGCTTATAAACCTAAAGGCATTACTTCATTAATGCGAAAAATAAATAATAAAGAAGTCCAGTTTTTGATGGTTGCGGTTCCTTAATAGCGATCAAAGATTCTTCTTCCGTCAGAAAGTTTTTGTTATTGTAACAGCATAAATGTTCCCCACACCAATGGGAAATACAATTGGAGCGACAGTCCTTGGCCAGATATACATAGATCTGGACCGTTCCGGATACGTAGGCCCGGCTATCGTGGGAACGGGCATATAGGAGGTCATTTCACAGCAAAGTTGTTCTAAAAGCCTTGAAAACCACTCGCACCTCTTCAAAAATAGTGCCAACGTGGAATTTGAGACCGAACTTCGTTACAAAATGGAATGAACTTGAACTAATGTGGGTGCCGGAACACTCTGGTATTTAAGGTAACGGACTGGCTGATGAATTGACGAACTGCGCATCTTTGGAGCATCCAATAAGATCGGAGTCTATCTTAGAGCCATTTTTTAAATTGACCACCTGCCATATTATTGGTTCAAAGTTTTGGCTTCAAAATAGGTCGATTTGGAATTTTATCTCAGCATAGAACCCGTTCGGTTTATTCTTAGTACCTGTTGAGTACACATTGTGAATGTGGCCTTAATTTCAATGCATATCTCACTCAGATAAATGTGTGGAACGCACCTTCCTACTGCCTTTTTTAATGCTAAATGCCTTTGCCGCCTGCTTTAGTAGTCAACCTGTGTGCAGTTGACTAAAAATATTCATCATCTAGAATTACAGCGAACGTCACAATGAGTCACGCGACATACCTTAGCGGATAAAAATTGATTACAAAGCCACGTACAATGAAAAAAATCCAGCGCGTTAAAGGGAAACCTTCAAAGCATTTCAAAACAAACCCAGGCATTATTGTTATACTTTTAATTTGTCTCTGCCGCGATTTTTCTTGTTGTTGCTGCCAAGCACGCAGATAACTGATTCACCTGTGCGATTGTAAGCAATAAGCCCTTACAATGAAGAGTACACAAAAAATTGCGATAACCAAGTATCGCGATGAGGCAAGAACGAGTTCATCAAACAAGCGAACAAGTGTCGAACAAGCTTTCTGTTAGAAAGCGCTGCGATTTTTTGAATACACCTGTGCACCTGTTTCCACCAACGTTCGCCAGCGCTAATAGCAGTTCTCGTTGGCCTAGTGTTATACTACGTATCTTATCAACTCTTGGAACGTTGGCGGCGGCTTATCTTATCAGCGTCACTTTGTTGTAGCTTTGGTAAGCGTGTACGCAATTCTTTTCGAATTTCAATGTTTTAAGTTATTTTCGTTTGCAAAAGAGTGTTGGATCATTGTGGGTTTGAGGTATGAGTTCACAAAACGGCTGCCAGTGAATTTCTTCAGCGAAATTTGAACGAACGGCAACGACATTCGAACGGTGAAGTGAGACTCGGAAGTGAACAGGTTGCATTTAAGAGATTTTCTTTAAAGTAAATAATTAAAAATTAATTAAAATAAAAAGGGAAAATCAATACGGGAAATTTTTCGAAAAACAAATATCGTTTTCGTGCCTCAAACCATAAACTTTTGGAATTGAATATTTAAAAGGTGAACTTTTTTATTACTTATTGCTTTTGAAAAGCGTTATTTTTGCAAAAAAATAGCTAGCCACCAAATTCAATATACATATTTCCATGTTTAATATTGAATTAAAACTTAAACAAAAATAATATTTTTAAGAAGACTGTCTTCTTATTTCAGGGCATTCAGTTTTCATACAGTTTTTTTAATCTAAATTGAGACTGTAAATATTGCAACAACATATGTGACGATAAAACGTACAAAAAACGAGGGCGTTGGCGCATAGATTTCTAAAGGGAAACTGACAGTGTGTGAAAATGTGAAAGAACAAAAATAATCTACAAAAAAGCTTAGTGAATGATAAAATTAGATAAAAAAAAATAAAACAAATAAAAAATAGATAGAATTACATTAAAGACAAAATGAAAAACAAATGCACTAAAATAAAATAAAAAGTTAAAATAAATTTAAAACGTAAATTAAATTAAATCAAGTTAACTAAAATAAACTGAAAAATTTCGAGAAAATAAAACAAAATAAAATCATAAATGTATGTACATATGTATGTTAAACAAATCAAAATAAAATAAAATTTAATAAAAAAATTAAAGATAAAACATTTAGTAACGAATAAAATTAAATTTCAAAATAATACAAAATAATTAAATTCAAATGATATAAAATTAAAAAAAAAATTAACTAAAAACCAAATAAAACAAAATAGAAATATAAAACGAGATAAGAAAACTCCATAAAAATTAATTAAAGTAATATTCAATTTCTATAACGATATTCAATTACGTAAACAGATATAAAAATTAAATAAAACAACGTGAAAAATATATTCAACTTAAAAAGAATCAAAATAAAATAAAAGGATACGTAAATATAAGTAAAAAATTAAAATTGAATAAAGTAGGTAAAAATTTAAAAGTAAGTAAATTATAAATTAAAAGAATTCAATAAAATTAAATGAAACAAAGCATTATATATGTACAGGATAAGATAAAATATAATTAAATAAAAAATATATGAATTAAAAAAAAGTAAATAGAATCAAATTAAACAAAGATATTTAAATTAAATAAAAAATAAAAGTAGATAAAACACAAAATAACATGAAAAAAATATAACTAAACAAACTGAAAAAGGCGGAGATCAAATATTATGTACTACAGGTGTTTAATTAAATAAAAAAATAAAATCAAAGTAAATACTCAGTAAAGTTACATTCACAAAAAATTAAATGCAGCATGAAAAAATAAACGTAAACACATACTAAATATAATTTAGCAAATTTTTTTTATAAATTTTTTAGTTTTATTTAATATTTACTTTTATTTTATTTTATTTTTCATGTCTCATTTAATTTTTTGCTAATTTAATTTAACTTATTTAAATAAAAACCAAAATTAAGTAATTTAAAATAAAATGAAATAAATCGAATTAAAATGAAATTTTTAAAATTTTAAGGAAATAAAAAACTCAAAAAAATAAGCTAAAATAAAACAAAATTTTAAAAAGATATGTAAATTAATTATGTAAAAATAAATAAAATAGTAATTTGAACAAACAAGGAATAAAATTGATAAAATTCAACCCAAAAACAACACTAAGAAGTACACGAATTTTGAATATGTAATTTCAAATCTTTGATGACCTCACTCACGCGCGCATTAAATTACACCTGTTGTCGCAACACTAGCAACAAAATTAATCAACAATGGCGCTGAGCTGATAACAATATTTGCTAAATACACAAAGATAATGTCATAAAAAATACTGTTAAGAAGTGGTTAGTTAGGGGTGATTGTAAAGTGAAGTTTTGGTTTTGGAAAACTCAATGGACTAATTTTGAAATTTGTGAAGATATTTTTTTATTAAAAAGTAAGGGAGCAAAAACAGCACTATTGGAATTAAGAGTGTTAATTGCGTAAATAGTATGTGAATACAAAAAGACTGTTCCTTATAAGTTAAAAAAAGAAACATATTTGAACACTCCAAATTTAATGCATCAGTTCCGAATTTTTTAGTTTCTCGCATCGGAAGTCCGCTAAAAATAATTAGGTGTTGGGTGTATAATTACTTATTGGACACTGAAGTGATAGCTGTATCGTTTCGGTTCATAATTTGTACAAATTATTTATATACTGAAATAAAATGTGAATTAAAATTTTATAAAACTTTAACCAAGTTACAAAATTATTCAATCAAAAAAAAAATAACCACAAACAGCTAACTCCAGCCAACTATAGTCATTATACTCGCCATTTATAGTCGTATTAGTCACAATTTTTGTTGGCATTTTATCTATGCGCATTGATAAAGTAATTGATTAAGCTCCTATAAACAGGAAAATGGCATATTAATGTACATACATATGTACTTATGTAAGTAGTTGAGTGTGTCATTACATAAAAATGCTAAACCACAAGAAATACTTCAGTAAGAGTCTAGCGTCCCTACTTAATCTTTATTACGCCTTTTTAAATCCTACACTAATATTTAACTATCTTTTACTTTCACTAATTTCAGTTTTCGCCACTGGCTTTGAGTACTACAACCAAACGATCATTACAATCAAATTAACAACAACGAAGCCAACAAAATGGGTTTTGGCCGCCAGGAGAATACGCTGGAGAAGCAAATCGGTTGCGTGAAATATACACTTTTCTGCTTTAACATTGTCGCATGGATGTTCGCCACCGCCTTGTTTGCGTTAAGCGTTTGGCTACGCGCCGAACAGGGTTTCAACAATTGGCTGACCATACTACAGGCACAAATGTTTTACATTGGCGTCTATATACTAATAGGCTCCAGCATTATAATGATGGCTGTCTCATTCTTGGGTTGTCTTAGTGCGCTAATGGAGAATGAACTAGCGTTGCTAGTCTTTATGGGCACACAGATTTTCGGTTTTCTCGCTGGTGTTGCGGGTTCGGCTGTGCTGCTTGACTTCAGTACGATGCATTCCAGCTTACAACCGCTGCTGAGGAATTCTTTGACTCAATATGTTAGCACTTCAGAGTATGCGCAATCGCGTTATATACTCAATATGATACAAAGTAATATTGGTTGTTGCGGCGCCACTGGCCCATGGGATTACTGGAATTTGCATCAACCACTACCAAATTCATGCCGCGATACAGTGAGTGGCAATTGCTTCTTCAATGGTTGTGTTGACGAATTGACCTGGTTCTTTGAGGGTAAGACCTCATGGATTGTGGCCGTGGCATTGGCGTTGTCTTTGTTAAATGTGATTAGCGCTGTGCTGAGTTTAGTGTTGGTGCAAGCTGTTAAGAAGGAGGAAGACGAAGCACGTACCTACAGACATTGAGATGTTAGCCAGGAGTAGAAGAATGGATGAAGTAAGGGGAAGCAATGGGAGTTGGTGTTTGAGTCGTATAAGAATATGGACGCTGTTCGTTGATGAGGAAGCAAGTGTTTGCTTGCATTGAATGACCGCATAAAGTTCCGTTGGAAACCGACAATTTTGAAAATTTTACTTTTTTACTACCACAAAACCGCCGAATGAACTTTTTACATGCATACACATTTTCATACATATTTAATTTTTACAGTTATCCATTAGTGTTTTAAGATTGTTTAACAAACAAGACATTTACAAATAATTCTAAGCGCTCAAATAGTTTTAATGAAATCATAAATAATAAATGTTTGTATTTTCTTCTATAATTGGAAGAAAATAGCAAAAAAGTATTGGGAGGATCGTTATTAGTTTTTTTTTTTCTTTTGTACAAGTAATATATTAAACTGAACGTATGTATCCAAAATAGCGTTCAAAACCATGACATACTGCAGAGATTAAAGCTGAGCAGTGATCATGAAAATTAAAATTAGTTTTGTTTATTGAAATAAAGTAGAATTGTTGTTGTTTTAACAGCAAACAAATTCCGAGAATGAATGCTGCAGCTTTTGTGAATTGGCATGTGGAACATCCCGGGAGTTTTCTCTCTTTTCCCTTAATTATTAAATGGCGGAGTTGAGCTCTCAAAAAGGTGTCAAACACCTTTTTCGAAGTTCGAATTTCCTCCTCCCAACTTTTCGAGGAAAATGCTACTCCTGGGAGTTAATTATTGCGGGATTTCTTTACCTGGAGAAACAAATTCCCGGAGAACAAACTCCCCGGGAATATTAAGAATTGGCCTGTATTTGAATGCTGGCGAAAATTTTCTAATAGCTTATTTGCTATAGTTTTCAGTCAAGAACTTCGATTACTTACACTTGGTAGAACTCATAGTGCACACTATAGTAGAACTAAGGGTCGATCCCTGGCCAGAGCAATATTCAAAAAAGTTTTCCCTTAATAGCGTTCGCCCCTCGGTAAGCTCTGGTAAACCTCCGAGTGTACTACTGCCATGAAAAAGCTTCTCATAAAAACCCCTATTGCCGTTCGGAGGCATCGAAAAACGGTAGGTCGCTCCATTTGCGTAACAACGTCAAGACACACACCACAAATTGGAGCAGTAGCTCTGCCAAATGAGTAGAAAAATATGTAAGCGCCAAATTATTATTGCTTTAATGATATGCAAAGGGCTGGTCAAAACGTAAAATCGTGGTGAATTGAAGTTGTAAGAACATTAAACATCATTATTTAGGAAAAATGTTGCTGAAGTGCAATGGCTGAGCTGGCTAAAGGAGTCTGTCTCTCATCACCGCTCTCCAGCGCATACAATTATGAGAAGAGTTTCGAAATCGGCTATCTAGCAAGATGCACCTGCTCCATGGGTATAAAATATTTGAATAAACAGGCTATAAGCGAGAGAAAATATGGCTGCTAATGTATTTTTAAGAAAAATCGCAGAATTACTACAAGCATACAGACATAACCACACGTACATACATGAAGAAAATAAAACAAAATTTATACTCACAGATTGCTCATGGAAAGATCTACTTCCAAATTTAAGTGCTCATGATGATATTTAATAATTGGCACACGCGCCTGCAGTATTCGTCGCACGTGACATACACCGGGCAAGAAGAGATGTAACATATCTCCAACACTTTCCATTTGTCGCTGTGTTTGCGAACGTCCATTAGCTAAATTTTCCTTTGTATGAAAAACTAAACGCGCGTCGTTATTTCGCCGCTGCATGGCAGCTGTACCAATAACTTCGCGATCAAAGCGCAATATTAAATCTAAATCACAGCCCATTCTGCCAAAGCCATTTACTGATGAACCAAAAGGTTGCGCATTTGCAAAGGGAAACATGCCGGACACAGCCTGTTGTACTTGCAGTGCTGCTAGGAAACGTAAACGCACGCCCAAATCGTTGAGTTGCGTGCGCTGGTGCAAAAGCAAAATTTGTTGATCTAAATTTTGCGATTCGGATAAAAGTTCGTTCAAAGCATTATTATCAAGCATTTCAGTGCCACCAATTACAACCAACGCGGCTGTTGTTGATCTGGCTGCTGCTTTTAGCTCACGCTTGCTGCTCGCCGCTCTGAACCAAAGAAAGGGTGAATGCGCTGTCACACCGGAAAGCTCATCATTGTACGCTGAGGCAGAAATTGCAGTGGAGGCCTCTTGCGTGCTGGCAAACTCCAGCAATATATAATGCTGATCGTCCTCATGTTGTATGCGGTAATGATGAGCGCTGAGTATTTGCCCAAAACTGGCGCAATAGTTATACAATTCGGGGAATGACTTTTCTGATTGCACTTGCACCACTATACTGCGGGTAGCTTGCTGCTGGCGTTGCTGCATTAGATCATTGTAGGGGAGCTTTTCTAAACGTTAACGGTTATAGTTATAAGATAGTAAGGAATATACAGATTTACTTACCTGGGCCTTCGGTTGCAATTGTTTTGGAGCTACATGTTCTGCTCAAATGTTTGCTCCAAAATATAAACTGCTTTGCGTTGTTTCTCATCAAGCTTTGCATTATAGCGCCTGCTAATGGTCTGCTTAATGCTTGCATCTGAAAATTTGTTTTCTTAAATTAACCAATGGCTTTTATTCATTAACTAAACCACAATTTACAAACCCAAAAAGGACAATTGTTTAGCGGCCGAAAGAGAAAGTTGAGGTTAGGTTGAATCGATCAGCTGTTGTTAGTAATAAATCTAACATTAGGGTCGCAAAGCAATATCAAGTAATCGGAGCGCGTGAAACCGCAAATAGCATTAGGACCTTTTTGGCATAAGGAAAGATTGGGTGGGCAAGAATAAATAAAAGTTGGGCGTTATTCTATCGGTATCAAAATTTATAAAGGCGGAGTGAGAGGGATTGGTGTGTTAAAATTTTTCTAAAAGAAAAATATTAAACCGATTTTAAAAATGCTCTGATATCAATATTTTTATATAAAATATTCACCGTTACTCAGAGTAGTATTCGCTGTTTAGTTTGTTCACGGCATTCAAAATGTCTTACATTAAAGATCATTTTCGTTAATTTTCTTCAAAACCAAAAAAAAATCAGTGAACTTCAAAAGATTACTCAAAATATCAAACTTTTTAACCAACCTTATTATTTAGTATTTTTTTAAAATTTGGCTAATTCTTTACCAAAAACCATATAAATCAATGTTGCAAACATATTACAAAATTCGCCAAAATTCCGCGAACTTCAAAAAATTGTCTTATAAATTTCATACTTTTTAATCCGATCTTTTAGAATATTTAAAATATAGCTAACTCTATCTAACAAACACCATATAAATCAATGTTGCAAACTTTCTATTAAATTCCCAAAAATTCAGCGAATTTCAAAAACTATCCACCAAGATTTCAAACTTTTTAATCCAATTTTTTTTGTTTATGCTGTTCAATTTCAATTACAGGTGTGAAGTGACTAGGACTTTTTTTTGAAATTTTTTGCACCAACGGTATCTCCCGTTTTCTTCCATATAAAATTATTTTTTTTTTATACATTGTATGAAAGTAAACGGACGATGCTTGCAGAGAAAATTCCAAATATCAACGATAAGGTCAAGTGTATTGAAGAAGGTGTGACTGACAACTCAGGTCGGCTCTTTAAGGTACTGCCAAAAAATATAAACAAACGATTCAAAATTCATATTTTTTTTTCAATTTGACATTATAGGATGGTGCAATAGTTGTGTTTTTTACAAATTATCCAGTAACTTGCCAGCAACTCTCCAGTAACTTAATTTGTAGGAATTCGCTCTCATAGAAAAAATTTACAAAAAAGTACGTGAACGCTTTTCCAGTAATAATTTGCAAGTTTCATGAACAGCTGATAAATTGGTTGTTTATTCGCAGCATATTCCTAATAAAACAATATATTTTATATTTAATTCAGCCTTATCATGAGTTTCATTTTCACCGAACCGGTTCACTTTTCACTTTTGGTTTCCATGGTTTTACTATGGGCGGATGACAAATTTTCGGGTGAATTTTTTTTCAGGCGAAACTCAGGATAAGGCAGAATACCTTTATTTTGTGAATTTCCACAATATAAAGCCACAAACAGTTTCCTTATTAGTTTAAATTTAGTAGTAAAAACTTGCAACTTCAGCTGTAATTTTTCGCTCTCTCAATTTCCCCTACTTTGCAAGTTTTTGCGTACGAAAACGCCTAAACATGAAAATTCGTAAAAACTTACACCGAATTTTACTGGAAATGAGTAGAAAAAACGCAACTAATGTCAAATTCAATCACACTTTGTTAAATACATTTTCGGAAAGGCTAATAAGGGCCATTTTCACCATCTCTGGTTAACACTATGCCCAGTTAAACATCGTTACCGACGGTACTGATTCCGTTCATTTAACATTGGGTCGTTAACGTCGGTAACAACAATCGGCAAATTGTGTGTGTGTCTCAGGTGTTTCTGGTGTTAATGGCGCTAGCGCTTTTTTTATATTTGCGTTGGCGTGTTGTTGGGGTGTTAGCGTAATTGCGCCGCGCAGCGCAGTGTACCAATGCCTAAGCACAAAAAATTTGACAGCTACCAATCAGATTTGCCTGCGTAAACGGGGTGATTATAAAACGAGCTGTGATTAAGGGTATATTTATATTATGTGAACATACCTTTAATCCTACTTGATACGGTCAACGGGAAAACGGTCAAGAAAAATTTTCCATTATTTCGTGTGTGTGTCCAAGAATTTTGACATCTGATCACAAAAAAAACTTTAGAAAACCGTAGCAGAAAACGCAGCAAATTCCTTAAGAACTCCGCACTGCCTTAAGGAAATTTGACACAAGAAAATTTATTTGCCATTTCTTGTACGTCATTGTATATGGACTTTTGATTTTCTGGCCATTTTCTTTTAACTTTTTATATGGTCACCTTAACGAAATTCAATTTAACATTTCTGGCTCAACAGCACGTGTGCAATTTTTGACAGTTCTGCGACAACAACAATTCTAAAAATTGGTTTCTATTCAGTTTATTTCCTATTCTCCAGTAAAAGTTAAAATTCCATCACCAAAATGGCTAAAGATAAACCTCAGAAGCCTCGTAAGGTGAATAAAAATGAAGGTACAGAGGAAAAGTCCAATGACAATTCGGCGTCCAGCAGTTCTGCTATTTGGCAAGATGAACGTTTCCAGCACCTGGTCAGTGATCCACGCTTTCGGGGCATACCAAAGGTGCAGCGAAAAGTCAAGATCGACAAACGCTTCCAGAGCATGTTCACAGATGAAAAATTCAAAGTGAAATACACTGTAGACAAGTATGGGCGGCGTGTAAACAAAAGCAATGCTGAAGATTTACGCAAGTACTATGAGCTTAATTCATCCGATTCAGAAGCAGAAGAAGATGTGAAGGAACGAACTGAACCAGCAAAACATGAAGATTCTGATGGGGAAGCACAAGAAGAGTTGGAACGCCGCAAGGAGGAGAAAGCGATTAGTCGTGATGCTGATCATTCCGGAGTGAGTATGCCGAGCGAAGAGGAACAAGATGAAAATGATAAGCTTGCTAGTGATGGCGAAGACGTGCCAAAAACACTGAAGGAACGTTTATTAGATCCTGACATCGATTACGCGCGAGGTGAGGGTCGCCTTATTACCGATTCGTCGTCAGATGATGAGTCTAGTGAAGAAGAAGATCCTGAGGCGAATATTGATCATATATGGGGAGAGCTAGATCAGGAAGCAGAAACAACAGAAGAATCTACAAACAGGCTGGCTGTTTGTAATATGGATTGGGATCGTATACGTGCAGTCGATTTAATGGTGCTATTTAGTTCCTTTCTACCACCAGGGGGTAGTGTTTTGAGCGTGACAATATATCCATCTGAATTTGGCAAAGAGCGCATGCAGCAGGAGGAAATACACGGGCCAACAGAGTTGGTCGGCTTGGGAAATGATATAAACAACGAGAAGGTATAATAAACAAATACACATCGTCGTTTAAAGTACAAAACCGCGTATCAACAAAATGCAAAACCGCGTATGTGAGGTTACATCAATTATTTTCTAGAGACACTAAACTAAAAACACTCGTATTTCAAAATGGTTTTTTTTTTAAGCAATTGCATTTCGGAACAAGTGCAGAATACCTACATATCTCTATTTTGAACTTCAATAACACCAGTAGTTATTTCCCACAAGAAAATTGATCCTAATATAAATTTTTTTAATAAGAGAAATGTACGTATTCTGCACTTAGTGCAGTTGTACCCAGTTTCTACCTACTTTGAACTTCAATAACACCAGTAATTATTATTTCCCGCACAAAAAAATTATACTGTTATGATCAGGACTAAGAGCCCTATCGATCCTAATACATATAATGTTTTTTTTTTTTTAATTTGGGAATTTTAGGTATTCTACATTTAAGCCTTGGCAGTAAATGTCAGTTACGCGGTTTCGCAGAATGACGATACGCGGTTTTGTACTTTAAACGGCGATATGTTTATGTTTTTCTAGTAAAAATTATCTAATTTTCCGACCATGTTTTTCTTTAGAATACGAATTTCGACAACGAATCGGACGAGGAAATCGTCAAAGAGCAAGACAGCGACGCTGAAGAAGGCGATGATTATCACATGGAAAAGCTTCGCCAGTATCAATTGAATCGCCTACGATACTATTACGCCGTGGCAGTTTTTGATAGTGTCGCAACGGCGGATAAAATTTATAAAGAATGCGACGGCATTGAGTATGAAAGTTCAGCAACACGCGTCGATCTGCGCTTTATACCCAATGATACTAGTTTCGATGAAAATGAACCCACTGACATGTGCACAGATTTGCCCGATACGAATAGCTATAAGCCGCGACAGTTTACAACAACAGCCTTGCAGCAAGCTAAGGTAGATTTAACATGGGATGAAACGGCTTTGGAAAGGCAAGAGTTAGGCGAAAAATTGGCCAGCGGAAAATTAAATGAAGTGAGTGACAAGGAGCTCCGAAAGATGATCGCGTACAGCAGCGAGGATGAAGAAGAGGATAGCGGAGATACAGAAGAAAGCGGGCAAGCAAATGGGAAGGAGCATACCAGTGAGAGCAATGACAATGGCAATGAAGCGCAAAAAACAGAGAGGCCGAAACGTAAAAAGGACGACATTATCAACAAATACAAGGCACTACTTGCAGAAATCAACGAAAAAGAGGAGCAAAAAAAGAAAAACAAATTTGAAATGGAAATAAGCTGGAATGTTGAAGAAAAGAAAGACGACAAAGACAAGGAAGCAGAAGATTCTGAAGACAGCAAGAAAAAACCACAGCTGACACCCATCGAAAAAGTTTTGCAAAAGCGTAGTGAGCGCAACAAGCAGCGCAAGGAGGAGCGCAAGAAGAATAAAATGCAAGCACGTGGATTGGATCCAGATGCAGATGACTCTGCTGATTCGGACAGCATACCCGATGGCATTGATATGAATGATCCCTACTTTGCGGAAGAATTCACTACTGGCGACTACATTGATCCCAAAGCAATAAAACGCGATAGGTTGAAAAAGCAACAAAATGAATCGGATAAGCAGCAGGCTGCTGAGGAGGAGGAAAAGCAAGCGAAAGAGCTGCAGCTTTTACTGGACGAAGACGACTTGGATGAGCAAGGCAAACAACACTTTAGCTTAGATAAAATATTAAAATCTGAACAAGAAACGAAGTCGAAAAGAAAACGACGCAAGCAATTAAAGAAATCAAAATCAGCGATTGCAGAGGAAACCAAACCAATAGAAGATAATTTCCAGTTAAATTTGAATGATGAACGTTTCAAGGCTGTGTTCACGTCACCCAAATTTAATATCGATCCTACTGATTCACATTTCAAGAAAACCAAAGCCATGGAGTTGCTTATACAAGAAAAATTTAAGCGAAGACATGATGATGAGAGCTTAAAGAACGGCAATAATGCTGCTGTAGCAGAAGTTGAGGTGAAAAGACCGAAAAAGCAGTTGGAAAATACGCTGCTGGTAAAGAGCTTGAAACGTAAAATTCAGATGAAGCAGCAGAAGTAGAGTTTTATCGTCTAAGTTAATGCAAATTAGTATATGAAAATTGTAAGTGTACATATATACTTTTTATGTAGATTTTACGATTCAATATGTATGCTTTAGAATGAATAGAACTTTGTGAGTCATTCACTAAATTTTGCAACTTGTTTTTTAATAGATATGTATTTATGTACTATGTATTCATGAGAACCAGCATTTTTGTACAAACCACGCTCTGAAAGTACAGCACTTGCCCATCTACCAAGTACTTGGCTGCCGAAATAACAGCCATTGGTCGGCGAAAATCCAGCTACTCGTATTTGCAAGGCGCCAACTGTTGATCCATTTACACTCGTCTCGGATGGCATGACCTTCCACATACTTCAGAGGAAACTCCCGCATAGGCAATGCTTGCTTAGAGTTTGAAAGCCTAGAAGCCTTTACACATTGAAGCGGTTACATCCCCAGTCGTTACTTCTCTCGCACACTTTCTACTTGTTACACTGGTGGTAGGAATAATAGAAACTCCTTACTTTGACCAGTTTTAGGTATGTTTCTTTTGTTTATTTATATAATAAACTGCATATACATAAATAGTCATTTCAAACTTTGTACCAAAAATTATACAACTTTTTTTTTATTAATGTTTTAAGAAATTTATGTTAAAGTTTTATAGCCCATTTTCATTAGATAAATGAAGGTTTCAAGACCTTACAATATACTGTTAATTTTTAATATTTTTTTACCGAGGTTTTGCGGTTTTCTTCTATATAAAAACAATTTGTGTTTATTTGTTATATGAAAGCAAATGCTACAAAAAAATTAAAAAATTTAAGGTAATTTTTAGCCACATGAAACTGGAACTTCATCGTAATAAAAATTAATGGGCTATAAAAGAGAATACAGACTTGCGTGAAATCTTTCTAAAAAGTTTGAAATTGTAGTGAATTTTTGTACAAGTTTGAAATGCGCATTCATGTATACATATGTAGTTTATTTCATAAACTATTAAACATTAAAATAACAAAATAAATATCGCCAAAATTGATCAAAATAAGGCGGGTCTATTATTTCTGCCAGCAGTGTATCTGCCCCGGTGAAACTGGGCATAAGGCTGGAGGAATCGCATTGAGGATATGCATAAACAGTCAGTAGCAATTTTTTTTTATATATGTAAAATCTTTTACTTTTTGTTTAGTAGAAAATCATTTAGAACTAATGTACAAATTATATGTATGTATGTATGTATGTTTGTACTGATACTTTCGCTTATAATCTATTTTTTCTCATCCCTCTCACGCTTTCTATTTTTCGCATTTCCATCTCTCGGACATGGTTCATATCCTTGTATTAGCTGTCTGTAGAGCTGTGCTACTTTGCTGTTTTTCTGACAGACGCTACCACCACCGCGCACCAGCTGATCGTGCTGTCGATTAATGTCGCCCACGCAAATCCAATCGGCGCCGCCAACACGCCAGCGCCAGAGCTTCAAACCGCTCTCCTGAGACACGGCCCATTTGGAGTGATCGGAATTGGTGGTAAATGAGATTTGTAGAGCTTGCTCTTTGATTTCTTCTATATTGAAGACCCTTTGGTGAAATAAAAAGAAACATTGCATTTTATAGAAGAAAGTGGAATTCAAAAAATTGTTCAACTCACTTATCACTCTTCGTGCAATTCGTTGCCAAATTGCCACCGCCATTGCGCCAAGTCTCCACTAGCAAATTGACATCCAACGCCGGCGCTATAACATCCTCATACAATTCCGTTACCTCTTTGCCGCTCTTCGCAAACGATTTGAATTTTGTGCCCGCTACTGTCTCCAACTTGACTTTATTCTGAAAGGGCGCCTCTTTTTGCCACTTACCCTGCACTACCTGCTGCAAGACGGGAAAGTGTGAGAGAACCGCTTCCGGGGTGCGCGTATAGTAGATGAGCGGCACCATTAAACGCAGCTGTGTAGCCACCTTATCCACTTCGCTAGCTAGCAGGGACATGCACAGAAAGCTCTGTCCATAGCGTCCACCTGTGAGGGGATATTTGTAAACTGGTATGTCCGGGTAACGTGGCACTGAATGCACCAGCCACACTGCCGATTCGCCATCGGTGGCGAGCAAGCCTTTAGCGTGCGCTTTCGGTGTGCTCGAATTGCTGTTGGGCTTCTGATCGTTGTAGGCGACAATCAGCACGCGCTCGTCATCGAAGAGCGGTTGTAGCAGTTTGCCCGGCATGGATGCGGTGGAGGTGACTTCGTGCGTGGACAAGCGCCAGGCATCGTAGTTGTTGTTCGATATGTACAGATAGTTGAAGCCGCTGCTGTTGCGTCTGGAGCCGTATTGGCTGTGTATGCGCGGCAGTTTGTACAAGTAGAACCTAAGTGTAAGAAAGCAATGGAACCTTACTTTAGAACAGAAAATACATACATAAGTGTGCTTGTGAATTCACCAATCTACTGGCGCGCCATCCTCATCTCTGCAAACTACCTTCGATGCGGCGTTCTTGGCGGCCAAACAGCCGACTAGCGGCAACAAAAGCAGCAGCAATAAACTGCGACACATTTTGGGCAACTAAAAAGTACTTTAAATACTTTAGTAGAACTCAAAACTCAGATCTCTGAAACTAAGACACACTCAAGCTATAAAAATACTTTGAAATTTTTTGTTCAAAGGATTACCTTTTTTCTTCAAACGACCGCTCACAGCTGCTCTGCGTCTTAAACTAAATTCTCAAAAGTCGCTACCGCTGAATAAAAGTGCACTACAGTAAAAGTTTATCGTTTGAAACGTAATCAAGCGAGTAATTGCAAACAAAGCCGCGGCACCAATGAATAACCATATCGCTTGGCATTGTTGTGTGAAATTGTGAGCCAAGTGCCAGTGAGGCACTTAAAAACGCGACGCTGCTACAGTGCGATAAGGCCGTTTAGTGTGCATACATACACACGTATATGTACACTTTAAATATCATATTCAGCAGATAAATATTTGTGGAGGTACGTATTTTACTTACACACGAAGCATCCCCGGCTCGGTTTAACATTGGATTTGCTTATCGCGTATAGTATCAGCCCATGCCATAGACAACACTTGTGTATGCACCAATGGAAATATGAGTATGCACATAAATATATGTATATGTATGTACATATGTATGTATGAAAATATACATTACGGAATGGACGTTGTAAAAGTGATTGTGGTATTGCCTAGATTAGTTAATCATGAAATCCATGTCTAAAAGCATAAACAGACAGCAGCGTTGATCCGGATCAACTAGGGAATTAACTGCAGTTGATCCGGATTTAGTCCGAGTTAATCCGGATCAACGCTGCCGTCTGTTTAAGCTTTAAGATCACAAGCTTCTGATTTTGTTGTGTTTTGACAGGCTCATTATTTCGTCAACTATCCTCTACTAGACCACAATGATCTAACTGCCTTCTATGTTGCCAAAACTTTTCTTCGTCTTTGTCCCAAGCCCTGAAGTTTGAAGACATTGTTGCATTGTTGTTCAGCATTTTGGAGAACGATAAAACTATCTCATCATTTTCACTGAAGCTATACACTTTCTTGCTAAGCCCTAAGTGGTTGTGCGCTAATCAGTATTCGTATCGCCTGCCAAACTGAAAGATAGTCCCACAAGGCGGTAATTTCTGGAAGGCTCTCCTCGGATTTAGCTCGCCAACTATCCACGGTTGTGTTACCTATCCTTATCCTTGTGATCAGGTATTCATTAATTTTCCTAACATTATCACTGAACGGGGGTAATAAGGAGTTACCCTCCTGATCAGCCTCATCAGCCGACTCATTCCCTTCAATATTGCTATGATGCTATAGAGGCGCCACATTTTAGATGCTATTGCTTTCAAGGTTGCTAAACTATCGACAATGATAGTAGGTTTATCATCTAACCCCGTGCTGCTTAGTAAACGACCAGCAGCCTTCTCTATAGCGTAGATCTCTGCATGGAAGACACTACAATCATTTGGTAAACGAAAAGAACATTTGATCTACAGGACCTCCGAGTAGAGAGTAGTCATACCCCCCTTTGCTACTGGTAGTCCTATATCCCATTCTTCTCTGGTCGCGTACCTAGATACCTTAGTATTGAAGTCCCAAACCGGCGGAACGTAGTCAGTGCTGGCTTCAATGTCAGCTTTTATTCCATTAAGCAGGTCCCTTTTAATTTCATTCTGTATTGCTGTATGCCGAAACCGGTGGCTTCCACATATTGGCTTCCTTGAGTCTGAGGACGCTCTTTGCGGCCGTACCATGAATAAAAATATCCAGCGGTTGTATGCTACAAGAGCTATCTAAGCTATAGCTCCTATACGCTTCCTTTCTAATTCAACTTGAAATCAAGAATTATTCCGAGGTATTTTTCCTCGGAGGAGAGACTAAAAGTAGCTCTTCTATTTTCGGCAGAGAAAAAGAGGGAGCTTTTGTTTTTGTGGTAAACAATACCAGTTCTCTCTTGTAGGCGTTAGTCCGTTTAGGTAAGCCCATTTCAAGATGTCACCTCATCATTAGCTCACTTATCGGTCACAAGAATTTGTCAGTGATGAGTATCACCAAATTGTCGGCGTAGGCGGCAACGCTTATTCTCTTAGTTTTAAACTCCTTTAGAATTTGGTTCGGCACCAGAAGCCAGGGGGGAGGGGTAGTACTCCTTTGAAGTGTGTCCCTGGTGGCTTTCCTTCAAAGAGATTCTGTGTCTATGGTCGCGGTTATTACTCTGCACTTAAGCATTGAGCTAACACAGTGGTCTACTGGAAGAAAGCTCTATGAGGGTTCGACTGCACTCATAGCTGTAGAATGCAGAGCCTCATTGAGCGTCATATAAACCTTTTAAAAATAGCGAAACTAAAAGTAATTAATTCCAGCTGAGATTAACACATTTTGCTTGATGATGAAGTTTGTTAAACCGGACGGATCCCACTACTTCAAAACGTGTCTGCTTAGCCGACAACGACTAAAACGATATACATATGTAGGTTCGCCGTAATATTTTCCGAAATGGGAAATTCGAAATAAAGGATCTGAAGAATTAATTCACCCAGTCCAATGCCTTTGCCTGCATTTTGATGAACAGACTGCAGCAGCTACTAAAAACAGGACACTGGTAAAGTATCGCACTCAGGCTGGTTATCGCTTCACGAAAAAAGGCCATGGAGCTTGCTTAGACGCTCTAAACTGAACCAACTTTTTCTCTTGGCATACCAATCTGGCACCTCATCATTGGTGAATTATTCAACGGGTCCGGATATCTGACCTAATTACTTCCATAGCTTCCTGAAAAGCTTGCTGTGGTGTTGTACTCTTAGATTGGAGGAGTAGGTTGTATTCACCAAAATATCGGGGTGATTTAAAGACTTGTATATGTAGTAGCACTCTCACTTTTGCATCAGGATATATGTACATCTTTACCCAACGAGTGAGCTTTTGACTAGCGCAACTCGTCTTATCTAACCTTAAATAACATCAAACATATGTACGTTTCCAGTTTTATTATTTCGTTTTTATTTAATTTAGTGCATTTGTATCATGAATATAAATGAAATTCAAATTTTTACAAACTTATGCGTAAATATTTTTTTAAATATCTTTAGCAATAATAATAATAATATTTAGTAATAGTAATTAATAGATAATAATAAGAATAATAATAGCATTACTACATATACATACATAGATTTCGCGTGCTTGTTGGCTTACCACTGGATCTACAAAAATTAGGCGCGCCATAACGCCTCTGAAAATTTACAAACATTCTTAGATTACACCGTGCGACAAGAACACAAAAACCTCAAAGCACACGAAAGTATCGATATACTCACGAAACTATGGGCCAAATATAGTAAAACTGCGTTTTTAGCTTTTCACACTGACGTCAGGATTTTTTTTCAAAGGACTTTGAAGCTTTAACGATATGGATACCAAATGAGAGAGAATATTCTGTAGAATTTAAAAACAATAAAGCTTTTCGGTTACCAAGGACGAATAGGTGTTGAAAACAATAATTTTTCAAAAATAAATATTGCAAATTTTCAAATATATTTAAGGACAACAGTTTTGAAGGACATTTTCCATACCCATTCGTCCATATGCACCAATATATTTATTCTGTAATAATTCTACAGAATTTTTTCTCTTATATGATACCCTCATTGTTATTCTACATTGCACTAAATTTTTAAAATCATTTTTTGAGAACAACTAGTACGCAGTTTTACTATAATTTACCCATATTTTCGCGAATATATTAATTTTTTTGTGAGTAAAAATTTACTGTCGCACGGTGTTATCCATCCATTCTATATCAAGATTTCAATAAAAACTATTTTCTATGCAGACTGCAGCAATCGCCCCCACAGCGCTGCGTCAACGTCGTTACGGTAAGAAATTCATTTTATTAGAATAGTACAAAAAATCACCCCCCTAACGGCACCTTAACCTCTACTAAATTCTCTCACTCAGCTTTCACTGCCTTCGCACGGTGCGCTCGCGACTCTCCTCTCGATGTAGGCCATGTCGCGGCGGCGATGTGCTACCATTGCTGGCGCGCGTCTTTCGTGAACGCTTGAATTTTGCCATATCCTCGCCGAAGACATCACCGGTGCGCAACGCGGATATTAAATCATCGAATTCACCCTTGTTGTCGCCCTTCGCAGGCGAGTTACGACCCGTTGTATTCGCCGACGATGTGAGACCCAAATTGCGCGCCACCGACGACATGAGTCCCTCCTTGTTCTTACGCTCAATGGTGCGCTTCTTTAGCTCAGCCTCCTGTTTGGCACGTTTCTCATCCTCTTCCTGTCGTTTGCGGAAGTTATCATTGTCCTGGCGCGCTTCAGCGAATGCGGTCAGGAATGTGTCGAATATGCCGAAGAACTCATCAGGCTGTAGCACAGAACCATCCTCACCAAAGAGTCGCACAGCGCGATCAAAGCGCGTTTTCATATCTTGAAATTTATCTTCCAATTCGGCAAAACGCACGGAGGCCTGCGCGTGGAATTCACGCATCACGGGTAGAAAGCGATCACCCGGTTGTGCTGGGCCCGCAGATCGATGGAACTCGATTTCGCGCGCCACATCCGCCAAGCCTGTGCGTAACATTTGTATATCCTTGTCCATTTCGGCTAGAGAAACTTTGGATGCTTCTCGCACATGGGGGATGTCATCCTCGAGTTTGAGCAGATCTTTGAATTTTTTATCGATCACTTGCACTAAATAGTGTAGTAGCGTGGTGCCTTTGGCGGCGCTGGATTTGGTGTCACCAAGACGATTGAGCGAGGCGAGTCGGAAGCCGGACGCGTTGCCGCGCGCACCACGATTCATGTAGTTGCCTGGTAGGGGAAAAAGTGAAATTAAATAGGATTGTAAAAAAGAATCCTAAGGAAAAAAGTTGTTAAGAATAATAGTCCAAGAATAATAGCAGTCCATTCAAAACCTCTTTATCTAATTCAACTACCTATGGCTCAGGGTTATCGCGATATTTTATAAGAACAAATATTCCTGGAGCTATGAACGACTTTTTGATTATTGATCAGATTTCTTCAAACCCACAACGCAGATAATACGCTACTAAATTTCAAAGAAATGTTGGAAACCGGCGTGAACATTGAAACTAAGCTTGACGTGGTTAAAAAAGCGTCCGTGCTCACAACAAATCTCTGCGGTGAGACATAAGTCACGCCCAAGGTGTCTGGCTCCATACCTGACATTCAGAAGGGTCTTGAGGTGATTTTGTGCCTTGCCGCATGCATTTCCATCGGACATTGGCCTATTAGATCTCCTTCTAGTAAAGATAGATCGAACTTGTTTCTTTTAAGAGCCAGAAGGACGTGCTAGGAAAGTCAAATATATTTTAAAGGGATCTTCAAGGTTATAACGACTAATAAGTGACTGCTTCTCGATAAGCGAAGGATCTAAGGCAGATATATAAGTATTCAGGTGTTACAACAGTTTGAAAATGCATTTATTTCATAGCTCAGTTACCCAACTCAGCTCTTTAATATTCCAAGGGATGATGCCAACTCAGAAAACCGTGTCTGAACCTATAGATCGATGTATCCCGTCCCATCCATACATTCGCGGAATCCTTTCTACGAATTACTTTCGCCTTTCTGATATCGCGGTTACCGTTCCCTTATCATACTAGGTTATTTCTAATCCAGACTTTGTTAAGGACTCGTCTGCTTGACGCCCTTAGGTCAGATAGCTCAATTCTTATAAAATCTCTGCGAGTAAGATCTCTCAAGGGCGCAATGAAAGTTCGGACAAGTTTATCTTATAACTCTACGAAAGAGTTGAGAAGTGAGTGTCACTGTGTTACAACAATAACACCACCATTTTGAGCATTACCAATGAGCTCAGTAAGTTTAAAACCGGTTTGGGTAGACGTATGTTGCCAGTAATTTGTTTAGAATTTAGAATTTCTAACCAGGAAGGCAGTTCCATATCACCGGCGCTTCAAAGAGTTTAATCTTCAATTTTAAAGAACTTTTAAAACTCTAGCTATCATGTGTGAGATTAACTGCTCCCCGTCTGTAGTAAAGTACCACAGAAGAACGTCAAGATAGCCAAACCTAACTAATCTTAAGGAATCTATTATAAAATATATCGAGCCCTAACCGCCAAAATAACGTAAGCGACATTTTTTTTTTAAATTTTGTTTTTGATGCAGAAATATTCCTAGAGCATATAGATGCATTTCTGCATCAAAAAGAAAATTTTGAAAAAAATGTCGCTTACGTTATTTTGGCGATTAGGGCTCGATATTCTTATAGCTCACTTTCACACTTTGGTCAATCGGTTATGAAGTTATGAAGAACCAAACCAGAGAACCTAGAACGTCCGTGAGCGCAAAGGCCAATGTTCATAGAACATTTACCAATGGCAACTTTTATCTTTCATCTACTCACCCAACGCCAGCACTAGCTCGAGCAACTTGCGCAGCCGTCTCGAACGCGCTACCTCACGCGAGGCCTCCATGACGCTGCGTATGCGTGGTATCAGATCGTTAACGGTGATCATGAATCGTTTCTTGTAGTGAAGACTCTTCAAACGCTGTTCATAATGAGGGATTCTAGAGAGTAGAGTATAAAATACAATCAAATTTGAAACTAAGAAAGAGTGCTTTGCAATTTCAAGCTTACTTCGATATTTCATAAAGGAAACGATCAGCGCGCGCCAAAGATTCTATATCTTCGCTATGCTCGTCCAATAGAGCACGTTCTTCTGCTGAGGGTGTGAACTTGAGCAGCTGCTCGACCATATCAAGCGCCAATTGTTCATTGCTGTCCATGGATAGAATAGCTCTGCAGATGAAAATTGGAAGAAATGCTATTAGTTAGAGAAGAGTTTAAAAGGCCACATGCACGCTGGTGGAAGGCGCTTCAAAAGTAAAGCTTTCTAACCCAAAGTGCTATTCCATTTACTTACTTGGAGATCTCCTCATCACTCATTTTTAATTTACTCAAAAGTATAGTACAGTTTTGTGCGCGTCGTCCATCAATGACGGAGAGTATTTTTGTGCGCTGCTTGCCCATCACGCGTAGGTCCTCAACAGAACCGTCGTTCTTCGTGGGTAAGAGCGGGAAGTATGTTGCTTAGCTCATCGTAAAATTTATGCATCATTTAACTTACCACTACGCCATTCTTTTGATAGGCCGAGAAGAGCTTATCTAGCGCCTCCAGTTCCATGTTGTTGTACCATTTAGACTCGTCCAACTCACTCCAGACAGTACCTTGCACTTTGGCATCGGGCAGCTTCGACCAGTTGAAGCTCTTCAGTGGATTTGAAGGTTGTGGCACATTTTTCTTAGGCACCTCAGTTTTGGGTGGCGGAGGTGCTATGTAGAAATAACATCTTATAGTTCTCGTTTACATAAACAAACTTGCGCGACTCACCCATAGTCGTCGCCATGGCGGGTGGCGGTGGTGCACCGGGACATGGCGGTGGTGGTGGCGGTGCTGCTGCCATTGGTGGCGGCGGTGGTGGCACTATTTTCATGGGTGGCGGTGGTGGTGGTGGTGATACGGCACCATTGCAGCCTGTGAGGCCGGCTACTTTTTGGTCATCTGGTATGCTACCCTCTGTGACTAGCCGCTCGAGACGTGTGCGCTCTTGCTGCTCGGTCATCAAGCGATGTTGCAAATCTTCCGCCTTCATTTCTGCCGTTTGCGCGCGTTGCATTGCCTGCGAGTGATTCGCCGACTCCTTTTCGAGCCGTTCACGCATGCGCGCCAAATTTGTCTCCAAATCTTCCTTCTCCTGCTGGCGCTGATCCAATTCTTGTTCCTTTTTGGCGAGTCGCGATTGCACTTCAAAGTTTTCACGTTCCAATTCATCAGCGCGCTTGCGCGCTTGTGTCAATTCTTCTTCTTTCACCAACAATTGCACGATTTCGCTAACATTTATTTGTAGTGGCGCGACGTCGGGGTCGCGCACCAATGGAGATGGTAGCTTCTCTTTGTTGGGATCGTCGGGGTCGACATCGCTTTGTGGACGTCCTTCGGTCTGTAGAACAATCTGCTGGACGACGCGATCGAACATGAGCCAGTGCTGTGTGCAGGCACCGGTGTCTGTGCGCGACAAAAAGAAATGAAAAAAAAGCGTAAACGCTGGTAGAGGCATTTTAGCTTAGAGGATTACTCACATGGCAACAACAGCATATGCTGTAAGAATGATAATAAGTGTGGATACGCGGGTGAGTGGCTCAATTTGCGACGCAGCAAATCAAACATAGCCGTGGCGCTTTTCGTATCCACATGTTCGTGATTGAACTTGCGCGCTAGCTCCTTCTCGTCCTCGGCGCGCACCATTTCAAAGAAGTCCTGCAAAGAGGAAGGTGTTGTATTTAGTAAGATTGCAGGAGCCATGCGCTCCATTTGTCTGTCCTACTTACCAAATGCCTATCGAGCGTTTCGTTTTCGTGCTTACGCAGCTTATCGATCACCGGCTGTATGCCGAGCATCAGAAACTCGTAACGCAAGTGTAGCCGGAACTCCAGGCTTTCCTGTCCGGGTCCGTAGTTAAGCACTGCATTGATGAAGGACATAATGGCAGTCTGCAGATTGATGTTGTCGCTATAGTCGCCTCGCTTGCGATCCAAGTCGTTGATGACGGTCTATGTAGGCGGTGTTAAGCGAGTTATAGTTAGACTGAAATATATTGCTCTTCCTCGTCTTTTCTCTCAACCTACCTGAAATCGCACGCGCTCCGCTGCAAATTCCTGAAAGTTCAGCATGGCTTGCAACACTTTGCGATGACCACCAGGCACCAAGCATACAGCACCCAAGATTTCCAAAGCTGCAATCTTCGTTTTGATATTATCGGCCGCTAGCGAACGCGCGATCGTGTCAATCGATGTGGGATGCGCCAGCACATGAGCGCGCCCGGTCTAAAAGAAACAGTAGTGTTCATAAATCAATTTTTAACTTTCCGCTAGCAACGCGCCCAACTTACCGAGTTATTCATCAGCGCCTTGATGCAGCCGATTATTTTGTAATGCAGATCACTATTCGCCACGCATGTGCCCATCTTTTTCAGCAAATTGAGTAGGCATGGCAAGCCATCCAGATCGACAAAGCGCAGCACAAAACTGTGAGTTGACGTGCGCAACGCTGTTTTTAGCGCATCCAGAAATGGACCATGTCCTTCGATGCGCAGATAGTACTCCATGCAGGCAGAATCGTCCGAGTTGAGGCGTACATAACGCTCTAAGGTTTTTAGATTCTCAATATAGTAATCGGCTGTGGGTGGTTGTGTAATTGATGCAGCACTGCCGTCGGTCGTATCGATCGGCTGTTTACGTGAACAATATATTTGCCATTTCTTTTGCGGCGGCAAATTGAGCATAGCCTCTTTATTGGGTGCTGTAAGGTCGAGTTCTTCAACGAGCTCAGCGAATTTGACGTCCAACTCATCCAAGGGTGGCATCGGTTGTGTGGGTGTGAGTGTTTGTAACGTGAAAGCGCCCTCAACAACGCATATCTCGGGTGGCTCGTCATCCTGGTGGAATCGGGAAGAGGGGATAAATGATGATAATGATGCAGCTTATATATGTACATGTATGTATGTATAAGAGCGAAAAATGGCACAATGTTGAATTCGGTTTGTTCCAAACTACTATACATATATGAGCCTCTAAAACCCTTACTATATTATAGTGGACTATTTTAAGTTTCTGTTGCAGTTTAAGCTGAACTTATTAGGTCTTATGTAAGTCTGCAAACTGTCCATTTAAGGAAAATTATATTTTTTCTTAGTTTATTTGCTGTTTTATTGAATAAAAAAATATTTTATAGAAAAAAACTCGAAAGTCTACAAATTCTCCACTGACAAGATACAAAATTTTGTACGTTAGTTTTAAATTTTCGGTGACTCTTTGCACACCACATAAGTTTAAGGCCATGAGAAGAAAGTCTCCAAACTCTCCACCAGCTAAAACATTATTTTTACGATTTAGTTTAGTTATTTATATAATTGTAAACTCAACTTGCAATTTTTTGGATGAAAAAGCTTAAATCTCCAAACTCTCCACTATCAAGAATTTTAATTTAAAAAGCAAATTGAGCATTTTAGCAATTCCTTACAAAAAGTGAAATTAAATGCTTCATAACTAAAAGTCTCCAAAGTCGAAAAACGTTATAATCTTCTTCCGGAGATATACTAAATTTTTCCACCAGCTTATAACAACAATAACAGTTGACTATTTTACCACTTTAAGGAACAAACAACGAGTATTTCGTGACTCACCGCAAGGTTAATATGTACTTAATATTTACTATCCCTTCGGGTTTGCGTAACTTGCGCGCTATGTGCAAATGTGCAAATGTCCAAATCAACAAACCGCAACATAAGCTAACTAGCGAAAAATTGCAACCAATATCAATAAATGTTGCTAAATCGAATGGCATTAACTATGTCAACACCTTAGAAAGTAACCGAGCCATAATATGGAGACTTTTACTATACTCTAACAAGTATTGACTACTCGCGTATGCATCGATGATCCGCTTTGCAGATAGTATGCGGAAAATATTTACGTATGTATATGTACATAGTTGCACTAAAAAGCAACGACTGAGACTACATACTGTTGTTGTTGGGAATTGTCGTTGCACTTGCTGTTGTTGTACAAAGTGATTGCAACTACATAAGCTAGTTACAACTTTCCCATTGGTGCAACTTTTCTAATGTAAGCAAAAATTATGCCATCAAATTTCGGTGTGAAAGTGAGTAAGGCCTCGTAATTAGCAATTGCATAAAGTGCTATGTTTTACGTTAGAGTTAGCGAGTTTGGCGAAAAGCGAGAGTTTGGCAAAAATGTGTTATTAAACTGATATTGGCTAAAAAGGTGCACTTCTTTTATTGCTTTTTGTGCTTTAATGCGAACTATGAATTCAAAGCGGGCCCAGCATGGACAGTATGTTAAGGCAAGTTAAGAGGTCATATAAATGTAATGATCTGGATGTAAATTTTGCGAATGAGTGCGTGAGGTGAATGAACAGGTGATTTTTTTTATTTGTGGTGTAAGTGTTTGTACATACATATGTATGTGCATATACACATGTACATATTTATGCGTAATGTTGTGCATAAGAAGAAACGAGTTGCACAAAGTTAAATGCAAATAGTCTATCTGTCTACATACATAAGTATGAAAGTATTTCGAAGTAACTATCAATTTCGCAATCTGTAGCAGTCATTAAAGTTTTCTTTTAAATCTCCAAAGGCTTTGAGGTATTAGACACGGTTTATGAAAATTTCCAGTCCCAATTATAAAAAGGGCGTGAGGTAAAATTTTTTTCAAAGTCTCCACTGACCTAAAACCAATGTCTGCATTAATCTTAAACTTTTTTTATAACAAAATTCTAATTTTGTATTTTAAAAGGCCCACTGATAGTATTTTAAAAGTCTACAAATTCTTTCGAGCTGTCAAAGTTTCCTTCTAACTCTCCAAAAATTTTTCTTCTAACACTCTAAAGGCATTGCGGTATTAGACATGATTTATGAAAATTTCCGGTTCCCAATTATCAAAAGTGTGTGAGAGTCAAATTTTTTAAAAGTCTCCGCGGACCTAAAACAAATGCCAACATTAATCCTGACCTTTTTTTATAAGGAAATTAAAACGCAAAATTTTTGTTTTCAAATTTTGAAAGTCTACAAATTCTTTTGTAAATCGTATTTGAAATTAATCATTTTTCGAAACTCTCCAAGCTCTCCTCAAGCAAAAATTAGTTTTCTTAGCTTCTACAACGGGTCCTCGATATTTATGTGTACATGTACCTAAATGTTTAAGGAACGATGTTGGAAGTGACAAGTCTCCAAAATACCAATTAAGCATAAATATGAATATTTAGACTATGACTGAAATAAAATTAATGCAAATCATTGATCATATATCTACAGTATTTATATGCTAACAGTATTTATTTTGCAGCGTGTTTCAGGCAGGGTTAGCCGCTATAAGGGACGCAGTCTACTGGCTATTTACCAGTGCAACATCTAATCGAAGGCTAAATATCTACTCTGACAGCCAAGCGGCAATCTTTCCTAATATGGAGGGTGTAGTAGTTTCGGTGGCAACTGGGCCTGCATAAAATTCTTGCATACAAAGTTGCAAAGTATTTCGAACCGGTAGTCAACCGCAATTGGCAAAAGGGGCTTCTACAGCTGGCTAAGCACAACTTTTCGGCTTTAATAAGAGTCCTGACTGGATACTGTTCATTAGTACATACACTACGCAGTACGACTTTGTATCGTTTTTTGATTCCCTATTTACCTAGCTGTTTGGAGGATGACGAAGTAGAATACCTTATACCTTCAGCATTTGCTTCTAACCTGACCTACTTTTCTAGGACCAAGTTTTATGTCTATTTCAAGAATACTTCCAGCGGGCGAAAAATCAGAACGCTGCAATAGAAAGCGCTTAAGAAAATTATCTACTTAAAGTAGATGAACCAATTGAAGGTTCCCTTTGATCGCGGGGCGAATGAAACAGAACTTAAAAACACAGGAATATGGCCTGTATATGCTCTCCAGATTTTTCGATTTAGTCGAAGAGCAGAAAAGTCAAAAAACCGTTCATAGATAAGAGTTGGACCAAATATCGAATCGTGTCACTTAGTCTAGCTATCACCCATAGTTTAATGTCCCACTTTGAGTCTGAAAAACAACAATCAAAAGGCCTCTTTAATGGCGCTGTGAGCGCCTAAGCGGCTTTGGCCGAGTCCAAAACAGCACGCCAATCGTTTCTTTTCTGTGTCAATTGACGCCAATTGGAAATGTCATGTGAATCCAATCCTAATCCACCAGATCTTTCTAACGCAGAGGAGGCCTTCCTCCCGAAAAGGCTTACCCTTCAACAAAAAGATAATAAAAACTCGACAAGCCACATAGATAAAGGATCTATTGATTTCTTATGAGTCTGTGAAGTCATATGTATTTTTTTCCGTAAAAACCTACAATCCTCTCAGTTAGAAAATAAAAGTAAAATAAGCTACCTTAGTCATTCCGATCTCACGTCGTTATAAAACCATATCTCGTCATAATCAAAAGTTAAGCTCAGATTCAGGAAGTATAATATGTAAAAAAGAGTAATATGACTTTAAGAGCATTGACACGTTTGTCACAGTTCAGAGAAGACCAGAGTTTAAAATTTAAGCTTTTGTCTTCTTCTTATTATTTATTGGCGCCGCCTAAGCGATTTTGGCCGAGTCCAAAACAGCACGCTAGTCATTTATCTTCTGATGCCAATTGGAAATGCCAAGTGAACACAAGTCCTTCTTCACCTGGTCTTTCCAACGCAGAGGAGGCCTTCCTTAGGAGCGTTTCTGTCCATTCGAACGACATGGCCAAGCCAGCGGAGCCGGTGAATTTTAATCCGCTACATTTCTGTCAAGTATCAGTACATATACTATGTTTCGAAAGTTGTCATGGCAAGTGATTAATTTTTATGAGCTGTTAAGTGACCTTAAACTCAAATTGTAAAGTTTTAAGAAAGTTTACGAACTCTACATTGAATAAAGGTTACTTTCTTAACAGTATTTCGAAGTGTTTGCAAATGTTTATGCACATGAGTTAAATTTTTTAATAAAATTGAAAGTCTCCAAACTCTCCACAAATTAAAAATATTTAAAAAACTTGTTTGTTTTTGCTAATATTTACAAAGAAGTTGATTAATAATTTTTATTAAAATAGTAACTCTCCATTCGTTAAAACTTATTTTGTAGCAGCTTATTTCTATAAACTCTCCAAAATTTCAAAATTATTTTAAAAAACTTATTTGAACTTCTGGTGAATTTGAATGGAGCTCAGTACTTTTCTAAACCAACTATATATGTATTAAATATGCTCATGAAAATATCAACTTAAAACGTTCTAAATTTAAAGCCTATCAGCTAATAGTGCAGTTCTAATGGCGCCAAATTGCACATTTTCACGCTCTAATTCGCTAGAGAATTTGCAAGAATTTCTTCAGCACTGCGCCGCGCTGGTTAACCATTTAATTGGCATTAACTGCCAATACACTGCAATAAGGTGTGCTTGCACGCACTCAAAACAATTTCCGATGCGCTTAAAGAAGTAACAAATGCCTAGCAAGAATGAAAATGACTTTCGTTACACTTCAATGATTTTCCCTCTACCACCTTCTTCATTACACCTCTTCCCAACAGCCGTGCAACAAATTGGTCTATGTCGCTGCATTTGCAACAACAAAGATTGCGAATGATTGCGCTGAGCGGCAATTATGGCTACTATTACGTATACGCTCCGTTGCACATTTTTTATATACTCGCTGTCGTTCAACTAAGCGGACGAACGAGTTGAAGGCATTAAACATAGCACCGAGGCACACACTCACCTGAAAACACCCACACCAGCCACGTCTACCTCGAAATGCTGGCATTTTCTTCTCTTGCTGATGCCGATAGAATTTCTGTAATGGCGTCTCCTTGATCGCGTCCGTCTTTTGCTCTTTACCAAATGGATAACTGATTCTGCAGCCTAAAATGTTGGTGGTATAGTATGAGCTATTATTAGTGCCGCCGCCGGCTTCATCTCTGTGCGGCGCTGTTAAATTATCTACGCCTTGTTGTTCGTGTTGTTGCTGCTGTTGTTGTTGCTGCCAATAACGCTGTAAGCTATAGAGACAATTCAATTCTGGTAGTCGCGCCTTTAAACGATTGAAATCGAAACGCTGTTGGAAGGACGCCGATGATGTGTCACTGGTGGCGCTATTCGTTAAGTGACTGTTGCTTATATGATTGTTGTTGTTGCTGTTGCTATTGCTGTGATTGTTGTGCGCTTCGTTGTTGTTGTTGTTGTTGTTGCTGCGTTGGTGCGACGGTTTCTGGAGCGTGCTATCCGGTGTCGTCTGTAGGCTGTCGTTGTTGGCACTGAGGGTGTCCGGTTCGTTGGCACAGCCGATGGGACACGACTGAAGTGTCTGTAGAAAGGGAAGAGAGGGAGAGAATATTTGAAATTAGTGATTTAAGGGCAAAGAGAAGGAAGATATGTATTATATTTTGATTTGATTTGTACAAGTGATTGAAATATTTTCCAAAAAAATAATTGTTTATGAATTTTCATGCACTTAATAAACATAAAGGCATTCTATAAAAACATAAAATTGCTGGTATAAGAAAATTAAAGGCTGTTTAAGCGAAAATCAAAAATTCTCCAAACTTTACATTAGCTAGCTGAAACAATTCCTTAGATGTTTCAAACGAAAGAGAAATTTCCCTTTTTCTACAAAAAAAAAAAAAATGAAAATGTGTGCTTCCCTAAAACATTAAAATCCAGATTCTAGACTAACAGCCTATGAAAAAAAAATGTTAAGCCGTAACTTAAGATGCGGCCATACTCAATAAGCAGTTTCAAATATTTTAAATAATTATTTAAAAAGTCTCCAAACTCTATACCGCTACCCAAATACAAAACATTTCGCGCAAACTATAATTAAGAGCCTAGAATATACAAAAAAGTTAAAAGAGCGAGCATTTATAAGTCTCTACACTAAACTTAAATTCCAGATATATGCTGCTGGATCTATAGCTGGGACTTTAGATTGCTCAAAGCAGTTAATGAATGAAAATTTTGAAAGTCTCCAAAGTATATACCATGTATAATTATCATATATGCTGCTGAATCTATAGCTCCGAGTTTTCAATGCTCGAAGCATTTAATAAATGCAAATTCTGCAAGTCTCCAAGCTCTACAAAAAAGTTAAATTGTAGAAAAGTCGTTAAACTGCAATTGAGTGAGAAAAATGAGTGCGAAAGTTAAAGGATTAAATTACAGAACAATACTAAATACTAACTAAATTACAGAAAATAATTTTACGAAATTTTAAGTAAATACGTATAGTATCCATACCAAAAAATTCACGTCGCCATCGACATGGCGTTATTATCTAAATGAAGGTAACAAATTGAAAGCTGTGGCCCGTCGTTTTCAATGAGTTCAGCACTTCAGGCAGAAAAAGGGAGCTTAAGCTCCGACTCGATTTTCAGCACAAATTCTTGAGCTTACGCCACCAGTGCAAATAAAGAGTCTGTGCTTTAGGTCACCTTTTATGCAAGAGGCCTATTTACTGAGCGGTTTGGTTGCCTGCGTTGCGGACTTCGTGCGCTGTTTTCTCTTGGGAGTGGTGTATGGAGTGCGTATATGAGGGAAAAAATTATACGAAATTAAGTTGAATACATTTCTAGACACATTTGGGGGGTTTCACAACGATGTCGTAAGTGTCGAATTTTTGTGTGCCGTAAATTTTAAGCGGCTAAAAATATATTAAGGGGGTTTGCAAGGTACCACAAAAGTCACATCATGAATCTCACAGTGCTACAAAAAAGTTGGTTGTTGTTTCAATCGCTCTAAATATTTATTTAAGCTTTTAAAGTTTACGACATACAACAATACGACACTTACCGCACCGTTGTGAATACCCCAATTGTATATGGAAGAAGTATACATAAACGCAGAAGTGAATTTTTCATTCGGGTCTGTATCTGTTTTATGTACTATATATATACATGGGGGTGATAAGATTTAGTTATAAGTTCTACCACCAGTATGTTCTAAAAACATTTGTAGTAAACTTAGTTTGCGTATGAGGGTTGTGTAAGGAAGACTAAATAGAGTACTCGGTTATGCTTCGTGTATAGGAGGAATCCGATTTCGTGTTGTATACAGGTCCCGATGGGTGCCGGAACGATGCTGCAACCGATTCCGTTTGATAGAAAGTTGCTTGCTTCACTCCGTAAAATAAAGTAACATGTAAATGGATGCTTATTTCTTTATAATCGCTAGCATTCAGTTGTTCATTGCGAAATAGTTTGTTAGTCTCTTTTTTGTTTTCTTTCGTGATACTTGAGTTTAAGCAACCGTTCACATTAATGGTCAAAGTTTTTCATGTACATGACCAATTTAGTAATTCAGGTGTTAAACATTTTCGTTTTGGACATTTTCCAATTAGATTCACCAAAAAAGTTTTACCCAGTTTTTAGCTTTTCAGTATAAGGCCGGAATGATGCTTTAACCTTCAGTTGGAATTCATGTCAATGGTTATTGCTTAAGATAAACTTGGTGTGGAAAATCGGTGACCGGTCTTACCGCTTCTTTATTTTGCGAGTTGAATGTCAATGTGACAATGCAAAGAGGTTGAAGAATAAATACGCACATACATATGTATGTATGTACATTAGATTGCATCACCAAAAAGTTGCTGTGTTTCCGCCGGGATTACAAAATGTATTATATTTGAAGATTTTCACCAAAATATTTCGGAAAAATATTAAAATTTACGTGAGCTGGACCGATTTGAAAATACCTCCAAAAATGGAGTTTTTGATGAATAAAAATGGTTTCTGGAAGAAAAAATTCCCTCAGATAGCAAAACAGTTTAAATAATAATAATAAAAAAAAAATTAATAAAAAAATAAAATAAAAATAAATTAAAATAAATAAAAAAAAAATTAAAAAGGAAAAATTCTACAAAATCATAATACATTATGAGATTCTGGTGCTGTTTTTGAACTTTTTTCAAAGATTGGTTTAAGAAAAGCTTGAATAACTGGGCCAAAGGTATAGCGATGAGGTATTATTATAAGGACATTTTCTCACCCTTTTTATTTCTTTGCAAATAAACTCATTCACGTCCCATTTTTTTTTGCAAATATCAACACATTTTGATTCAACTTTGAATGACGCTCTTTCATCTTACCTTTCTCTTTCATACCTTGAATGAGTTTATTTGCAAAAAACAATAAAAAGAGAATACAAAAAAGAGTGTGAAAGTACCTTTCTAATGATACCTCATAAGCCTAAAATGATAAAGTTTTGGCTGAGTTATTCAAGTTTTTCTTAAACCAGTCTTTGGAAAAAATTTAAAAACAGCATCAAAAATCTCATTATTATGATTCCAGTGGAAACCTTTTTGTATGCCGATTTTTTAAGCTTAAACTGTTTTGCTATCTGAGGGAATTTTTCTTCAAAAAATCCTTTAAAAACCAATTTTCTTCATAAAAATTTGAATTTTTTTAGGTATTTTCAAATCGGTCCAGCTGCCTTATACTGAGTTTCACCCGAAAAAAATTCACTCGAAAATTTTATCATCCGCCCATAGTAAATACATTCTGCCTTATCCTGAGTTTCGTCCAAAAAAGGTTTCACCAGAAAATTTGTATTCCGCCCATAGTAAATACATGGAAACCAAAAGTGAAAAGTGAACCGGTTCGGGGAAAATGAAACTCACGATAAGGCTGATTAATATCTTTTCCGAAATATTTTGGCGCAAGTCTTAAAATATAGTACATTTTATAATTCCAACGGAAAAACGGTAATGATTTTATTTTTATTTTTTTTGATGGGGAGGGGTGCAGTCTAATGTACATACATATGTATGTAAGTCAAAGTGCTCCATAGTATAAAAATTTAAATGCCAATTCCCATAAGACGGTACGATTCTCGTCAAGCGGGTAGGTCACAAGCAGAGCAAATAAATTTAAAGTATCAACCAAGACAATAAATACAAAAGTGCCTATACTTATATATGAGGTGTTGGTGCTCATAAAATATAAAATTGATAAATGATTGCAACCGCGCAATTGTATATACATACATATGTAAGTAATGCTGTGTAAATATGTGTGCATTCATATGCAAATTAAAGTTCAAGAATAAGAAGCGGATAAAAATAAATGCAGCAGGCATTGACATGTGAATGTGCAAATAACGTAATCCATAAAATGCAAGCTGGTTGATATGCATGTAATTGGTAATTGAAAATATTGTACGAGTATAGGCAACAAGTGGGTTGTTTATGTGGAGGCGTCAAGTGTCGAATACATTTGCATAGGTGAAATATGCCATGGTTGTTTTAATGGGTTCACAAATAGTATCCATATATTTGCAATGCTTTTTAAATGTTTTACATTCATGTGTAACTGTATAGTATATGTTTATTAAGTAACAAATTCTTTACATACATATGTATATGTACTTATAAGACAGTGGTATAATTTTTACAAGAATGTGCATTTATTAGTTTACAACATACATATTTCATTAATTAGTATAATACTCTACATATAACACTGGCCTTTTGCTATTCAAAAGAAACTTTGAAATGTCTCTCCATACTGAAATAATTTAAGCGCAAATTATAGTAGCTCCAAAATCATACTTTTTTCAATTTAGGTGAAATAATTTTCCAACGCAATTTGCTCGAAAGACTCTACAAAAATGTTAAATAAACATCACTTTGTATATGCGTTAGTAATTTTATTTAAGTATTTTGAATGCAAATATTTAGAAATTTCGAATGAAAAGAAAAAAGTCTCCAAGATCCCCATGGACATAAGCTTTAAAAGCTTTGTGATCTATAGGCAAACATTAAATAAAAATCTGTTTGTATTTCTCTTAGTAATTTAATTTGAATATTTTAGGCCCAAATTCACAGTGTGTAGTTAATCACTACAAGTGTTTAGCTGCGATTTTCATATTCACAGTGCTCAGTTAACAAAAGCCCAAACCAGCGTGACTCCATAGTTAAGCTCTTGTGAAATGATTTTTTTTTTGTGGAACGAATTTCAAATTTGTATTGATTTTTAGAATTTGTATATTTTCAGGCGATATGAATTTCCATAGTTAGTTAACTGAATATAAGTTTAAAGTTAAACTCTTGTTAGTGGTTAGGCTAATAACAGTTTAACTAAGCACTGTGAATCGGCACTGAATGTAAACTCAAAGTTAAACTATTGTTGTTAGTTAAGATAACAATGGTTTAACTACGCA